TCACTCGTGCCCCGGCTGAACTCAAATCACCACATCAGGTACACAGACACACACACACACACAGTCGAACTAATGCAGAGAGATGGAAACCTCTTGGTTATAAATCCTCAAGGATTGAGGTTTTAGGTTCGGGTGTTAGCAAGCAAAAGGTTTTTGAGGTCAGATCCTGTTTATTATGCCCTTGAGCGGGGCAATTCACCTCAAGTTGCCCATCGCGACTGTCCCTGTGATTGACCTACTGTAAGCTGCTTTAGATAAAAGCTGCTGCTAAATGACACATTTCATTTTGAGTGCTCGGACAGGAAAAGATGAAGATATTTTTAGCCATTTTATAAAATGAGGGTTGTCTAAAATTGCTATGGCATGGGCGGATTTATAGAGCTTTTATGTACCACTAATACTGCTTTCCCTTATAAACAGAGAGCGGAGTGGTCGATCTCTCGCTATTCTCAATGGCTGGATGACCATCCATCAGAGAAGGACCGTCTCACTCTTATTAGGTAAGATTTAAGGCTCAAAACTGCAACTCCAATTCACCATTGCCACTGCTTTTTACAATAAATCTTTCCAGTGACACCCTCTGGTGGAAAACTAACGCCAGTTTGCATTAACTTGGTTAGTAGTTTAGTTTTCGCCTCTTTAACCCGTCAAACTAGAAATGTCAGGGTTCCCACAATCACAGAAAACCTGGAAATATCAGGGAATTTTAATAAAAAATGAAAAAAGAAAACCATGCATTTCTGTGCATTTAGAAAGATCAGTTTCTTGCCAATTAAAAAAATTCCAAGTTGATGCAATGCATATATTTATGGATTCTATTAGAAATATTTATAGTCACTATGAAAATTTCCATGATATTTCTGTGGCATTTAAACATTTTATTTCTATTTTTTGTGGGGATCTTGACTGTGATTTCCAGATATAGAAAAATCATGGACATTTCTTAAGTGTAAGACTTACATTTTTCTGGTTATGCTAAGCTCTAAAATTTTTCATTGGCTAGAAATTGCATTTTATGAGTGCGAAGTTTCTAAAATGATTTTTAAAAATCCCTATTCATAGAAAACACATGGTAATAATTCAGTAGTTCAGACCAGAACTGAATTTCTCAGTGCAACATCAGCGCCCTCTAGTGGTGCTCTGGAGAAAACACAGCAGCTTTTCTTTGATCAGCGAAAGTAATTAAAATGTGACTTTCCTTTGTTGCAGGGGAGCACTGGAGGCATATGTGCAGTCTGTCCGAGCCAGGCAGGGGAAGGAG